ACCTTTCGAAAATTCAAAGGACGATGGAAGAAAATCACCTCGGAAGTGGCAAAAACTTCGGGAAAAAATTTAATGAAAAATCTTCGCAAGAAAATCGAACTAGTCGCCAACGGGGGTGAGGCGGCCTTAGCTATTAACTAAATTACGTAGGTACGTATTTGGTATTATACATATGCAAAAAGTTTAAAATTCCGATAACTCATTGTGATTTTATGACCACATTTTCAGACCATTCCCATTCATTCCCGGACGTTCTTTATATTAACTTAAAATGAAGATGCCAATTAATTGTAAATATGTAACCGAAGCTTTATTTTATTCTAAAAATTATACGAAAGCACAATCAATTTCGACATGTAAGCCAGAAGAAAATACTACGTTCGTAGGAAATGAGATAAAAAATAGAGGCCAGTGTTTCATCTTTTAACCCATTTGCAAAGTTGTGCATTTTTGGAGAATGCCTATATGAACTATTACGAACAACCTTATACTGTAACATTTTCACTGGATAATGACGGGGAAATTTTTATCTAAATATTCATGGACAAGATAAGGATTTTCTTACATGCACAAGTGAGACCGTACATGCATACAGTTGTGCATACATATGTTTGACTTTTCAGAATACGCATTAATACAATTTCATCTAAAATTTAGCGCTGTTATGATGCTATAACTTCTCAGATTTTTGCACGTATACCGATTCCTAGGCTGGAACAATGCTCGAAGTTTATTCGAAAATATAATTTTTGTAAATTGAAACTTCTAGTATTAATTTATGAATGAAATACGAGATCGCTAAAAGGCTAAAAAGTGGTTATCACAGTAGGATGCGAACTCAGGAACTCTGCTAATAATTTATGCAGTTTTTCAAATTCATCACTCATAATTTGGTTGATCGTTTTTCCAACTTTTTAAATTGTGTAAAATCCAACGAACCAGCAAAATGCTGTTAACAATTATCAAATAGTTTTTCAAAATAATTACAGGCATTAATTTTAAGCATAGTTGTAATCGATTATGTCGAAATAGCATCAAAATTCCAAAAATAATACCGTTTAAAAAATTTAAAATGTTGATGAAAATCCGGGTTTTAGAATTGCAAAACCGGTTTTCGGTGAAACCGAAAACCGGTTTTTCTCCGGTTTTTCCGGTTTTGAAAAACCGGTGTTGAATCCCCTACCTGGAAATTGTGTGAACCTAAACTTTAGCCTTATTTTAAAAAAGTTATTCTCACAATGCAAATATTTAAAGTACACAAAATTATAAATCTATTATTTCGACAATGTTCAATTTCCTTCAAAGTCAGGGGTCAATTTTACGTGGTCACTGATTTAGGACAATGTATCCCACCTAATTTTCGCTTCTGGCCAAACCCTCCAAAAGTAGCAGCACTGTTCCCGCCGTTCTTTCCATTCTGCGGTTCCCTCCGGATTTTCGCGAAGAACGACCTCCCGCACAGTTGCGCACCCCGGTCCGACATAGTCCTTTAACTCGTGCGCCTTAACCGGAAGAAAAGAATCCACCAGGGTGAAAGTATCCACTTCCGGGCTACACTTTAAAGTAAGGCGGGTTAATTTAGGCAAAAATTTTGCATAGTCAATCTTCTCTAAATCATCCTCGTCCACCCAGCATATTTTGTAATCCTTAGGGACAGTAAGTCGCAGGGATTGCAAAACCGGAAGTGGTGGGAGCAAAATGTTTCGATCATAACATTCCAACGTCAAGCCAAGGTCGACCAGGGTGCTTTGATGTTTTAGGAGAAAGTGGTACAGCGAATCGCCACGTGGTCCCGGTTCGTCGGTGAATTGATGAAAGTGCAAATAATATGCAAATTTACATATGTACCTAGGGAATTGAGCACGTTTCTTCCTCCACAAATTCGTCCCAGCATAATCCATCTCTAACCGCTCCAAGTTTGGACACGTGCTAAAGAAAGTTTGCGCCACGTGGGATAATCGTTCCCACCGGAGGGAATATACCCCCAACTTTTTCACTTTCCTGAAAACCACCCCCTCCCCAAACCTCGGCCGGATGTACCCATCGTATTTCACTTCCTCTAAAGTTGTGCAACTTTTTGCAAATATTTCGCCAACAATTTGTACCTCCACATCTTTCATATTACTCCGTTCGCAGCCCGTGATCCATACACTTTTTAAATTCAGGTCCGACGGAACGATTCCTTCCGGTTGGCATGTTAATTCTTCTTCTTCCTTTATCGGAGTTAGCCCTCGCACAAGGATGGTCACGTGGTGCGGGCGAAAATGTAATTGCTCCTTAATTAAATTCAGGTCAAAATTTCTCGGCTCAAAATCCACGTGTAGTCGGGAAATCTCCTTTAATCGGTGGGATGCCCGATTATTCCACACTCTGCTTATCAACCTCGCATTTTTGATGTGTTGCAGGGGTAAATATTGGCAAATTAGGTTCACTACCTGGAACAAAAGTAAATGTTTTTTTTTAAATTTTTTTATTAATAAAAAAACTAATTGAACTAAACGATAATTTTGAAGCAGTGACCCGTTTCATAATATTTCAGGAAAATATGTATGTACTATATTTCATAAATGAACAAAAAATCTGTAAAATATTTACAAACCTTGGACGCAGTTTAAAAAAATTAGGTTCATTTACGAAATAATTGTTAATTTTAATCGATTAAATCGTCCTTATGTAACATGACTGTTAAGATTAAGCTTTAAAATGGTTAAAATTAGAACAATTGGAGGGGCTTAAAAAACCCTGAAAAATTTCGAGTTTTTCTTTCTTAATTTTATCTTATTTAACTATTTTATCTTAATGAGAATGGTAAAAAATTAGTGACTCCAATCAAATTTATTATTTACGCGAAAGAAATCTAAAAGTAAGAAGTAAAACTCCCTACGTAACATTTTTCAAAAACGGCGATTTATATATTTACTATCATTAATTTTAAGACCTTTTGCTGGAGACCGATCGGGGCTGAAGCATGAAAATGTTAATGAAAAATTTAAGGTGTTTTATAAAATCACTTAAGGGGAGAGAAACAACTGCCAGTTGCAGAAAAAATTTTTAAAGAACTTTTTCGCCCCCAAAATACAAAAAAGTGTTAAAAATGCCTTTTTTGGGGACAAAAAAATAATTTTTCGCGGTGAAACACATTGGACCGCATTCCCCATAATTATCTACATTTTTGACGTGAAAATCAAAATTTTGACAAAAATTGTTAAAATTAGTGGTTGACCTTCCCCATAAGTTGGATTGAGTAAAATATGTAGCACGCAGATGAGGCCGAAATGATAAGAAACTCGGGGCTTCCTCCACTCTCTTGTCGGGAGGCGACTGGAGGCGAGGGTTTCCTACTCATCCGCACGCTACATATTTTACTCAATCCTACTTATGGGGAAGGTCAACCACTAATTTTAACAATTTTTGTCAAAATTTTGATTTTCACGTCAAAAATGTAAATAATTATGGGGAATGCGGTCCAATGTGTTTCACCGCGAAAAATTATTTTTTTGCCCCCAAAAAAGGCATTTTTAGAACTTTTTTTGTATTTTGGTGGCGAAAAAGTTATTTTAAAATTTTTTCTGCAACTGGCAGTTGTTTCTCTCCCCTTAAGTGATTTTATAAAACACTTTAAATTTTTCATTAACATTTTCATGCTTCAGCCCCGATCGGTCTCCAGCAAAAGGTCTTAAAATTAATGATAGTAAGTGCATAATTAATTACCTCTTCTACAAGCCTCGGGGTCCTCGGATGTGCAAATCTTTGCTCAGTTTCCATCCCAAGATTATATTTTTTTTAACTTTAATTAATTTGTTTCTTCTTTAACAGAATTTATTAAACGTTTGAAGAGTTGTAAATTCACCGGTTTTTGTCATGATGCTATGTTAATACATGTGTTTGAAGATAGGTACGAAGGTAGACATGAATGTACAGATATGCTTCTATTGGATTATAAATTAGTTTTAGAAAGAAAATCTTGTATCTTATGTATGCATGTTACAAAGAAAGATGCAAAAAACAAGGTCGAGAAGCAGTCCATCCTCAGCGTCGTGTTAGGGGACTGTGCAGAATTAATGTAATTAATTTGCAGAACATTCCATCCCTCCCATGTTACATAGAGAGTTATAACATGGAGAGTACAGGTCACAGTCACCGGGGGTCAAAATCATTTCCGAAAATCGACCATATGCTTTATGTACGGCCCCTATGTGTGCGCGTATGTACATACATGCAAAGGTCCCCGACACTGCTAAAAATCAGGGAGAGCAACGTTTACATAACTGGTATTCATTCGGTAGTAATTTCTTACCAATTGAGTAGATTGGTTTTTACAATGCGATGGTGCGATGTGTAATGCTCCTATTTGGCTGAAATTTTAAAATAAAATACGTGGTCCAAGTCATTCGAACCAATGTTTCTTGAGGCAGTTTGTGCGACGGTCAGAGTTTGCCAAAATATTTTAGGTCAAAGTTGAAAAATGCGCAATTTTTACCAAGCTTTACGGAACAAACCGCATTCCAATTCCCCCTGTAGGAAAAAATCGTAGATTTTTCAACTTTGACCTCAAACATGTTGACAAATTCCCACCATCGCACAAACAGCTTCTAGAAACGTCCTTTCGAATGACTTGGACCACGTATTTTATGTTAAAATTTTAGCCAAATCTGAGGGTTACACTTGACACCATCGTACTGTTATTGGTGAAATTTATCATTGCAACATTTTAACGCATGGATAGTAAACCAACCGAACGCTCGTTTTTATCGTCCGATTTGGGGTCATACATATGCTCTGGTCCGAACTAATTTAGTACAAGTTTTCTAAGACGGTAAGTTTAAACTCGGGTTTCATTACTTATCCACAAGACCTCGTTGGAAGGAAGGTTTCCAGTGGAAACTTTTCCGATATAAAGAAATTTTACAAAAGGAATTACATATTTACATGGTGACTACGTATTTTGACGCGTGGGAATCTCCAAAGCTCCATGCAGAATATCATACATACATATTTTTCATTTTAAATCAAACAACTGGAGTTTCTTTGCATTAGTTTTATTTTCAGACAATTATCCCAACAATGTAACTCTTTCCAATGTAACTCTCAGATTTGGACAATGTTAAATTTCTTTCAAAATCAGCTGGTCAAAAGTGAGCACTTATGTATCCATATTGATTGGAGTAGTTTTGAACACAGTATGCCACTTGATTTCCGCTTCTGGCCAAACCCTTCGCAAAAACCCGTACTGATACAACCGTTCCATCAATGTTTCCGGGGTCTCCGGATTTTCCTGGATAAAAACCTCCCTCACAGTTCTGCACTCCGGTCCGACATAGTCCTTCAGCTCGTTCGGCACGAAGGAATCCAGCAAGTCGAAACTTTCCACGCCTGCGCCACATTTTAAATGAAGGCGGGCTAATTTCGGTAAAAATTTTGAATAGTCCACCCTTTCCGTGGGGTTGACCTCGTCCGCCCACCAAACGTCGTAATCCCCACGGGTACTAATATCCAGAGATTCCAGAACCGGAAGTGGGGGAAGGACGAGGTCTGGAGAATAACCCGTTAACGTGACACCGAGATCGGTAAGGGTGCCGTGATGTTTGTGCAGCAGCCGAAAGAACCAGGGTTCCGGATCGGTTTCGTCAAAGTATTGATAAAAGTGCAGGACTCGGAGAGGATTCGGGAAGTTTAAAAGTCTTTGGGCGAAATTTTTGGAAATCCAGGTATCTTGGAGGAATTCCGTGGTGAAGATTAAACTTGTTAAGGAGCTGGAAGCAGGGGGAATATATTTATTTTAGTAAGAATGCTGGTCCTACCGGATATATATTTCGAATTTACCAAATTAGTGCTAATTACTCATAAATTTAGCTAATATGCATACCTGTGCAGCTTCACTCAATTTCCGCAAATTGAAGCTTCATTCACGATGAGGGAGTGAAGGAGAGTGAATCTGAGTGAGGGAGTTGAAAAGTTTGATCGAGTGAGTGAAGGTGAGTGAGGGAGGCCCAAATGAGGAATGAGTGGAATGAATGATGAATGAGATGAAGGCTTCATCTCCTTCATCTCTCTCACTCCTTCTCCTCCGGGTGAAGGAATATAGGGTAGATAATTAGTTTACATACTCAAATAAGCGTCGCAATATTAACATAGTACGGTCTCATATTACCCCATGCAATTTTCGCCATGCCCCATTCCAATCTCACGCTGCCCCAACTCAGTCTCGCGTTGCCCCAACCCAGTCTCACATTACCCCAGCCCAGTCTCACGTTACCCCACTAGATGGCGCCAAAATACTTTAATTATGATGACTCGAGGGACTGAATTGACTGAAAGAAAGAGTGAGGAAAATAGCTGAGTGAGGGAATGAGTGAAATATAAGGAGTGAGGGAGTGAAGGGAATGAAGGAGTGAGAATGGGATTTATCAGTGAGTGAAGCCTCACTCAGCCTTCCTTCACGCGAGTGAGGGGAGTGAAGGGCAATTTGGCTCGAGGTGGAAATGAGTGAAGTTGAGTGAGGTGAGAATCACTTGCACAGGTATGCTAATATGTCATTTGCATAAAATAGGTTCAGCATCTCTCGCTACACGTGTATTTGCATCCAAAGAAGAGAAAAATCACTGTAAACTTTGCACTTTCAAGGCGTGTTTACCCCTCTTCGGATGCAAATATCTCAGCGAAACTGGCAAATTAGGATATCGTGCCTTTTGAAAATCCCAAACTAAAAATATTCTCCAAAATTTTGTAAAATCACCTCCAAATTTATTTAGTGTGTGCAAATTTACCCTGGAAAATGAGTAGGATTCTTCTTCCACAAGCTCCTTCCGGAATAATCCATCTCTAGGCGCTCCAAGTTGGGACACGTGTTAAGAAAAATTTGCGACACGTGGGATAATTGTCCCCAGTGGAGGGAACGTATAGCCAACCTCTTCACTTTTTTGAATACCACCTCCTCCCCAAATTTTGGCCAGATATACCCATAGTATTTAATCTCTTCTAGGGTTGTGTAACTTTTTGCAAAAATTTCGCCAACAATTAGCACCTCGACATCTTTCATATTACTCCGTGCGAAGCCAGTTATCCATAAACTTTTTAAATTCAGTCCGGACGGAACCAGGACTTCCGGTTGACATGGTAATCCTCCCTTCATCGGGGTAAGGCCTCGGACAAGGATGGTCACGTGGTGTGGTCGGAAATTTAATTGTTGCTTAATTAAATTCAGGTCAAAATTTTTATGGTCAAAGTCAAGATACAGTCGGGTAACTTCCTTTAGGCGGTACGATGCCCCATAATTCCACACTTTGCTAATTAACCTTGCATTCTTGATGTCCTGGACGGGCAAATATTTGCAAATTATGGTCACGACCTAGAGCAAATTAATAAGTTTTTTGATTAATTAATCAGAAAATTATTTTTGGTTTCTTATTAATAAAAACACCTAAACTAATTGAACGAGAAGATAATTTTGGAGGAGCAACCCGTTTGATAATATTTCATAAAAATAATACATTTCAGAATTACGTAATAATTTGTAAAATATTTTTACAAGGTTCATGTATTTAAGAAAAGATGTTTTCTATAAATAATGTATAATTTTAATTAGCAAATCGTATATATTTTACATAAATGTAAAGTAGTCGTGAAGATTGTAAATTGAAATGTATGAAAATTACGCCTAATTTTTTTTACTCTCTCTAAGCAAAGGAGAATCCATAAAACAATTATAAAGTAAAAACTCCCAAAGTAAAATTTCACAAAAAAAGAACGAATTATTTAAGTTAACAATTACCTGTTCAACAAGGCACGTGTTGGACTGATGTGTAAATCCTTGCTGAATTTCCATCCCAAGATTACTTTAAGGAGTATTTGCAGATATTTTAAATTTTTTAAACGCAGGTTCCAGTAATGTTTGTTTTAAATCTTACATTCTTTAATTAATTAAAAAATATAATTATACAAATGCAAAATGCATTCGTATAATTTTATGTAAAAAATTTTAAAAATTTTATTTAAAAATTTTATTTTATGCATTTTATGTAAAATCGTTCTTTAACCTTTTCTTAAATATTATTAGGTATTAATTTCTGAAATAAACGTATCTGTATTTATATTATCGTATCTGGTTTTGTGAAAAGCTGGGAGAAATATTCGACTCTAGGTTAGCGTAGCCTTGTTCCTCGTTTTTGTATTGCTGCTTGATGATACGTACATGCGAATATGTATGTACATACAGATTATCACATCTGTTTGTCTATCAAATCTGCATAGCATGTCTGTACGTTCACTTGCAGATGCTTTTGTGTGATGGCAGGTTACTTTTAGAAAGTTGACATCTTATACAGGTTACACAGAAAGATACGAAATACAAGAATGAAAGGCAATGCGTCTCATCGTCCTGCTCGGGGACTGTGCAGAAAGCATGTGATCGATTAGTGGAAAGGTAAGGGGTCATGGTATCCTTCCAATATACGAATTATAGCATAGGTCATACCGGGGGGTGGGGGTCGAAATTTCCTGAAAATCACATGCTTTAAGTACGGCTCCTGCATTGCCTGCATTGAACTTATGTTTACTACACTGCTAAAAATCTGGTAGGTCAACATATACTTGTACATAGTAATTTCTTACTGTAGTTTTGGCCTTAATTTGCTAGTTATTATCGGGGTCACAATTAACAAGACTTGCATAAAAGCATTAAATCTTATGTAAATATGATCGTTACGAAAATAAAAACCAATTATATAAAACATATACATTTTTAATTATCGCCTTGGACAAATGGAAGCGCTTGTGATTAACAATCCCTATTACCAAACACTTACCCGACCCGCCCCAACCTCAATCCTACAAAGATAACAGTTCAGCTAGGTACATACTTAATTCATGACTGGCCAGGCAGGTAAACAACCAATAATTTATGCGAGTGTTACGAAATTCTTACTTTCACTTTCAAAAGAGTAGAAGTTGTACATAATGCCCAGTACCCAGGACAGACTTTTCATCGGAAAAAGTTCAGCAAAAGTGGGAAAAAGAATCTTACGCAACATCTTGCAATTTATTTGAAGAAACACTCCAATAGAGAAATTCAAATGATTTCTGTGAAAGAGTGATTTATTTATACGAATAAAATAGCCTTCCATTCCGCGCGAAAAATTCATCCTGAGTACTCGGCTTAAGACAAGAAACTCTACACTGGAATTGTAAATACTTTCCTCGTCCGGCAAATATTCATATCAGTTCTAAAGAACATTCCAGAGAGATCGTTGGATTCGATAGTTCTCATTTGACATACAACCCTTATTGCGTAATACGATTGTATAACTAGGATTGGAGGTCTACCAGTGTATGCTCTTCAATTTTCACGAAACTAATACCCGTCGACCACTAATTTTAGTAATAGGTGTCAGATTTACAAAATACAGGAAATGGTCTCATTTTATAGAGATAATTGAATCCAAGGGTGAAAAGATGCGGTATGAAGCCAATAAATTTTACGCTTTCCAAATTCACTATGCGTTTTCACTTTATGGGATGCAAATATCTGTGCCAAATCTACACATTGGGAAATCCTGTCTTTTATACATTTTATATTAATTAAATGTCGATTGATTGACACCAACTTGGCCAAATTCGGAAGCATACGCTTGGAGGCCTCAATTGTTTGTTGTGTCAAAACAATTTCGTCAAACTCAAGTGTCACATAGTTTCAACATTTTGAATGGTGAAATAGCCACACATTTATTTCGCACTCGGATCACTGAATAGGTCACACTAAATTTGAGAAACCCACATTGACATTTTTAAAGAAAAAGAATTCTATAATTCCGTTTTAACTGGTTTTTTAAAGAGGGTACAATATTTTCACTAATAATCATTTCATGGTAACATGTTTCTCAAACGTTTAGAAAATCTTGTAAACCTTCAAATTTTATTTTCAAATTTCTTGGGGCTGTATAAAATTCGGTGGAATGCGAAGAAAACGAAATGGGAAAAAGTTGCCCCACCTGCTAGAATACATCACCGACGAATCTATTCCTCTAGAAAACACTGTTTCATATTGTACGGATTATTTTTGTTCGCAAATAATCTCAGGTTATACCAAACATTGAGAAAGTCTCAACTGCTCCGAAGTTCATACTGGGTTTTGACATTTATCGGATTTTCGCCAATTTATCTTGACCCGGCTCAATGTGCGGGAATGCTAAATGTGTTGCTTAGATTTGAAAATATTAATGGGCATCATTGCGCGCAGGATAGGTTCCCTTGTACTTCACTACTGAAATTGTGTAAGGTTTGCATCATAACTGTTCACACTCATTTATTCAATAGATATTGAATAAATTAGTCGTTCATTATTCGACACATTTATAATTTTTTTCAAAAGCTTTGAATGAATGAGTCTAAAGTAAATATTTATCCATTGCTTAATTATTCAATGAATGAAGAATTCATTTATTCTTCACGATTAGCTTAATTCACAGGTTAGATTAAGAAACCCATTTACTATTTAAAACCTACATATTTAAGGCTTTATGAATAAAAATGAATGAGTAAATAATCATTTTCAAATTTTGAACAAATGAATAATGAATGATGGGATTTTTCACAGGTAAAGGTTGGATTCTGCAAATGTGTTTTACTGCAATTGGTATCCCAATTTGTGTCACGGTGCTAAATTTGTTAAGTCCTTGCATGGTGCCAATGCTGAGGTCGATTTTTGTTAGCAGTCATGAATTCCAAGAGTGTCACGTGGAATTGGGACATCTGGAAATTGTGGTATTTCTGGATATCATAGAGTTCGTAGTGTGGTATTGGTTTGCCGCCAATGCTGCCTTTTTGGTGGGGACGACGTATGGAACGATATTGACCACGATTTTGGCATATGTGCAAATTCTGAATGGAAATATGGATCAAGTTGCAAATATTTGCAGGTTTGTCGAACAAATGTTCTATTTACATATATCGTTAAGGAAACATCCCGATGTACCAGAGAAATCGGCTAGAAAGCGGGTAGAAAGAGTAAAATCGGTTTATGTTCGGCCGAATTTACATACCTTGTCCGACAAATTCCCGATTTCGGGTTCGGTTCTAGCAAGAGTCGGATTTCGCAGTTCAATCCGATTTCTAGCCGCCTTCTTATCGAACTCTAGAAAAGTTGTATGAAAAATTTCTCAGCGGCCCGATGTCGGCCAGAAAGTGGTGGGCCAACTTCTCCATGCTCGATTTATGTACAGAGCACACCACCAGATAGAGTTGCCTGCTTCTCATTTCTTTCCCCTTCATCTTCCTTCTCCCACATTTCCCACATTACCATCAGCTGCAGAGTGAATAATTAAATAATTATTTCCCATCTATTTAAACATTAAAATAATTCGAGAAGTACTCATGTCACAAACAATTAAGTCTTTTGCTGTTGTGGAGTTTACTGAGGAACAGTCGGTGGAAGTAGTTTCATCAACGTGGATTGATAACTCAAAATCAATCTGTAAGTGGCCACCCGTTTCAGGGCCAAGGATAAGAAAATTTGTTCAGGACCACACCCAGCCTGACTCTGGTTGGTTCCAATATAAATGTCGAGTGCTACAAAATTGTGGTAAGTACTTTTTAGTTCCTGACTTGTTTTATTCTGTTATCTATTTAAATATGTATTTCGATTATGCTTAATATTATTGATTATTATTATTGCTGCAGATTCGTATATTAAGGCCCGTGGAATTTGCAATAAAGCTGAGGAAGACTCTGTCGTCGAATCAACAGACGCCGAGGATCACTCACAAAGGAGGAGGCGAGCCAATATTGTCAAAAATCAAGGCACTGGCGGACTTAAATTGATGAAAAAAAAGAAGACACCCAGCAGGGTTACGAAGACATCAATACCGGAACCACCGCTCTCACAATTATCTGATAGTGACTCAGATACAGAAAAACCTTGTAATTATTTCACTTTTCCCAGCTCCTCCTATTTCATGCTGAATGAAGATATAATTTCCGCCGGAAATAAAGATAATTCAGGTAACTCTTAGTCTAGAAAATCTGAATTTGCTCAAGATTGATTTTTTCATTACTTTTTAGAAAAGGACATCGATCACACTGTTGAAGAGCAGGAAGGTGGAGAATTTCAACTCGATACCTCGAAAAATTTAGAAAATAACTGTATGCTAATTTACAATTTTACAAATCTACATGATTTATTCTAAATTATTTAAAATTTGATAGACAATGAGTTAAACTTAGTGTCGGGTTCCACACCAATTCCAGTGACGGTTTTCGTCTCACAACAAGAGTCCTGCAACTGTGATGTGGGGACGCTAAAACACCAGTTTGAAGAATTTCAAGCTGAAACCAGACGTAAAAATTATTTCATTTGGCACATTTGGCACATATTTTATTTGTCACAAACCACTAATATTGTTCATTGATTAATAATATTTTATAGGGTTTCAGGAACGCGTGATTGACCGGCTGGTCCTAGTTAGCGACAGCCTTGCAGAGCTACTGAGCAGGACCAACATTCAAGGTCAACCCCTCCCCACGCTAAGTGGAGCGCCACAGTTACCACTCTCAGCGCCCGATGGTTTTCGAGAATTAGAGGCGTGGTTGCAAACAGACAGCAATTTTGTAAAGATTGTATGTGTAAATCAGTCAAATAACTTCTGGTTACCTCATTGCCTAAAGATAACTGTTTACTTTCATTAAAGGTTCAACATTTAGAAATTTTAGGGGGAAAGGACCTGAAATCCGTGACGGGACGAATCTTAAAGGCCACACTTACCAATGAGTTGGCCAAAAAGTTTTGTTTAACTGGACGGGGAAAGTGCTCTGAGCTTGGTCTACAAAATACTAAAGTGCTCGGAGCTGTATATGGTAATATTTGTTTAATTTCAATAGAAGATGTAGATTACGACAAAGGTTTATAAGAAATTATTTATTTTTGCAGAGTCGGTGAGGAAAAATTCCTCCACAGCAAAAGCTACAAATAGTGACATCGACGAACGCATCAAATCCTGGTTGAAGAACGCTAGTGACCGAGGCGGAGGGAGGCAGCGTCGTCGTCAGCAATGTCCGGATATTCAAGATGGACAAATAGGAGAAAGCGAGTAAAGAAAGTTGAAGAACTCATTCAACAAATTAGATCACAAGATGTTGATACAAATGTAACGCATAATAATTTAGATTTTGATATACAGAGTAGTATAGTTGATATTGGTGTGAGTAGTTCAGCATTAAATTTAGTTACTTCAAGTGAGGATGAGCAGGATACGCAAAACGTTGTTTTGACCGATGAGACTGAA